TCAAACAAACATATCAAGTGTAATGTGAGAACTAGAAGTTTAATGGCTTGAATAGTTTTCTACATGATAAATTAATTTTAATTCCACCTAAATGCATGCCTACACCACACATGCATGCATTTGTGATTTTGGTCAGTTGCCCATGAAAGCAGTCGAGAATAAAATAGTGTCAAGGGCAAGCAACTTTATTTAGCATTTAACATGTGCATACTGAAAATCTGCTCAAAATGGATTAGTTTTCGCTGTCAATTTTCACTTTTTTAACTGCAGGAGGCAGATTGCATTCAGCAGATGAATAAGGCAGATATCCTTTGTGTCTCCAGAACTGCCCAGTTGTAAATGTAAGTCACACATGTACAGTATTTTTGGTTCAAAATGTTTCTTTTAACTGCAGAGGACACAACAATGACAGGGAACAGAGTGTTTTACTCTGGAGTAGATGACCTCAAATTGACAGCTTTGCTGGAAAAGGAATCTAAGACAAAGGTGACGACTATGAAAGTGAATTAATCTCAGCCTCACTTTCAAGGTTCATGTCGTCTCAATCGCATTATCTGAGAGAATGTTTCAGAGAGATGTGTGTTTTTCTCCTTTTTTATGGTAGTGTGCACTGATATAGTGACTGTACTGTATGAATTGAACAGAAAATTGTAAATATTAATTAAAAACACTTACCACTGACTGACAAACACCAAATAATATTATTTTGGACTTTCAGAATGTTTTCAGCTTTGAGGGTCACTATTGTTTGGTGTTTGAGTTGCTATGTCCAAGACCTCTCCATCAATACTTCAAGGTAAGTTGCAAGCATGTTTGTTTCAGGTACAGTACAGTATTAACAGATCATGTTGCATCTTCATAGTATAATTATATTATTGGAACATTGAGTGATCAAGACTTTTCTGTGTTTTAATTTGCAGAAATGTTAGTTTGAAATTGAGGTAAGAAATTTGAGATTATATACATGTAATTTAGAAAAGCATTATATTAATTACTCTACATGTAAACAAAATAAAATAAATTTCAATTTTCTTAAAAATATGACATATTCATGGAAATGCACTGATTGTGGGAAAATGAGGAATTATATTTTTCAGACTTACACCTTCCCTCTGTGTTCATACGAGTTGTAATAGATATAACAAAATTAATAATCTGAGTGTACATTACACGTCCGTGATAATCATGCGATTACAGTACATGTATGTTATTCATATTTCTGTAGGCTTGGTCATCTCATTTCTAACTCAGAAATGTAATTACAACTTATACTTAATTACAACTTATACTTGCTCCTCATAATGAAAACTCTTTCTGTGCTATTTGCTTTGAGCTTATCATGACAGCAAAGAAAGTCATCTCCAGTAACCCTAAGGGCTTAAATGGTTTTGCTGTTGGGTCAGTGAATTCTGTCCTTCTCACTTGTCGTGGGAAAATTTTTTGAGGAAATTCAAATTACAGATTGAAGTAATGTAAGAGATGAAATGACACAATACTTCTCAGCTTGTCATAAACATGATAAATTGTTTTATTAAAATAAATTATTTTTACCAATAGGAGGCAAAGTTGAAAGTGATCAGAAAAATAATGTTACAAGTGAGTATTTTTTTACACTATGAAGTGATAAACAGCAGTGAGATTAAGGATACTGTTATTTTAATTAGCCCCCTCCCCAATATAGGAGAAAGAAAAGACTGTACAGACCTTCACTCTGCAGAATGTTTTTGGCATTTCTTAAATACCTCCTTCTTTTGAGAACCGTTGGATCTACTACTGATTGCAAGTCAATTATCACTTTTATTGTATAAACACTAATGAAATACCAGGTGAGCTTGCTTCACATGTCAAATAACATGTATGTTAATTACTATAATGTTATCTTCACACATGAAAAATCATATTTGCTTAATGCTACAGTACATATTAAATCGCCCCTTTCACAGCAAAAGTGAAACATTTGGTTTTGTATTTCGTTAGTCTTTATACATTAAATAGAACAGCATGGTGCTGTTGAAAAATATTTCAATCATTTGCTGCGCTCACTCATGAAATATTTTTCAGCATTCAAACATGTGAAATCTCTTATCTCTGTGCTGCCTTGTCATATTCTCAGATCTATAGGGTGTTATATCATTATTAATAGTTTAATACCAATATGTATATTATGTGTCGTGCACATGTAGTTTTACATCTCAATAAGAAGATCCTCATGCAATTTAACACTACTGTCTCTATGTATATGTCTTATTTCAGCTTTTACAAGCCCTTGGATTCCTAAAAAGGTAAATTATGGAGGCTTTGAACATAGACAATACTGACAACTGTTCAAGACGGCAAGTGCAAGCTAATGTTCTCATTGGCCACATGTACAACTGAATGATAATACACTTGCAGTTGTCAATGGACCTTTTTGGCGATACAGCGGCCATTTTGAATTCTATTGTTTCAAATAGCTTTAATTATGGGAGGCCCAGGGTGACAAATTAGTATTTATTTGCTCCTGTTATCATTCCATAATTATAGCTATTTACAACAATAGAACTCAAAATGGTCCATTTAGACACCTGGCTCTATGCTGTGTATAGGCCAGAAAATTGTCTTTTTTATGTTTTTGTTTCATAATTAAGTTACTTGAAATTGTTGAGGTTAGGTTTTGGCAGACTTTTATCCCTGTTATTAACATTTCTGCCCTTGTTTTGTCAGCAGTAGTTAATGTTTTGACTCTTCACTTTCTATAAAATAGGGAATCTCAATCTACGAGTTGAGTGTACCTGGGAGTGGAAATACAACTTGCAGTAAAACTACATGTCAAACTTGCTGTCATGTTAAACTGTGCTTGCTTAGCTGATTTCGTTGATTTAGAACTTGTCTTACTAACATGTACTCTTAATTTGACAGAGAGAATGTTATCCATGCTGACTTAAAACCAGAGAACATTCTTTTGGAAGAAGGTATTTTAAAGTAACCTTAACTTCAGAGTTTTCAATATAATTAATACTTTGTAAGTAGTTTATTAAACATTAAGAAACAATGTTACATTTACACACCCTTTTGTTGAGGATATTGAGGCAAAGTTGTACCTGCACACTCTGAGACTGGAGGAATGCGTTTCATGCCTTCAGGATGAAGACATTGATCTCACACCTACTCATGCCTACCAACCAACTTCCTGTGCCTTAAAGCTGTGAATCTTGNCACACCCTTTTGCTGAGGATATTGAGGCAAAGTTGTACCTGCACACTCTGAGACTGCAGGAATGCGTTTCATGCCTTCAGGATGAAGACATTGTTCTCACACCTACTCATGCCTACCAACTAACTTCCTGTGCCTTAAAGCTGTGAATCTTGAGCCATAAAAGCCTTCACTGACACAGTTTTATCTTTGTCTGTTTCAGGTGAGGAAATCAAGATTAAAGTCTTGGACTTTGGGAATGCAATACATTGGGTTCATAGAGAGGTACAGCAAACTATATTATTGTCCACAATTATTACTATTACTGGGCTGGGTTGTTTGAAAGGTGGATGAGGCTACCCACCAAATAAATCACTATCCAGTGGATAATGTGGTTTGTTTTGATCACACTAATCCCCTGAGGACAGTGATTTATCCAGTGGATAGGCGTTATCCAGCCTTTGAACAACTGGGGCCAGTAAGTAAACACATGATTCCCAAAGTACCAACTTTCCTAAATTTAAAAGACAGCAACCTTAAGCATATCACTACTACAGAGCAGCGCATTATTTGCTTATAAATAATCTGTTCCGATGCACACTATGTTAATTTAACCTGCAATCAATTACAGTCCCTAGGAACTGCAACATTAACTACCTAATTGTAGCTTATTAAGTGAGTGCAGTCTTATTATTTATCATAATTTATTTACTGAGCAGGATACTAATAATTATGTAATAATTATTAATGCATAATTTGATGGGTTTTTTTTTTCATAATTTGATGTTTTTAAGTCACTGTATGATTTCAATATTTTTTAATACGTTTTTAATTTCTATTTGTATTTCCTGATTTTCAGGTTTCCTTGTATTATGATGAGTTTGAACTGCAAACATTACTTTACCGAACTCCAGAGGTGACCAACTGACTTACTGCTTATGTGAAAGGCATACAATAGTTGAACATTGTGAAATTTATATAACTTGTACACATGTTACATGTAGGTGGCAGTCTGGGAAATCTTCATTTTAAGATGTAATTTGACATAATTTTTTTTTTGAAAATATTGCCTAAGATTTTTCGAACAAATTCTGCTATTGAAGGGATATGAGGAAACAGAGGAGAGCATTCTGATACCACACGTCTGGTAACTTAAGGTTTGACTCTTTACAGGTGATGTTTGGTGTTCCATTTGGCCCAGAAATCAACATCTGGTCTTTAGGGTGTATCCTAACTGAGGTACGTCTCAATTATATTCTAGCTCCGTGAGCAGGCAAGATGAGCCGATAAGGAAGTGGTGTGAAATATAATACATGTATATTGTTAAACCAGTCACAGAGTGCAGGAGTAGAAACTAAAGGAGTTTGTTATGGATTACTTTTGACACTCAATTGAAATCCGCTCTAAATTTTTAATATTAAAGCAAGCACATTGTCCTCACAAGGATCCTTTCCTGACAAAGTCATTGTATATACATTAATATGTCTACCCACATTTTGTATACTTTATACTTACTTGCCAATGTTCGTACTCTTGGGCAAGTGCTAATATAGTGTTTGAGTTAAATTGCACTCAAGCGCTGCCATCTGGCTATTCGCTTTGGCATGCGAGCGAGTTTACGAATGACCTGGGTTACTGAATGAGCAGCAGAGAGAGGGAGGAGGGCTTACAAACTAGACACGAGCCTATTGTCTAGTTTAGCCTACAGCCTAGTCCTAATACTGACTGAATTTGGATCTTGCTTTTCAGTTGTACATTGGAAACCTTTGTTTCTTGGAAGAAATAAAAATGAAATCTTGCAAGAGGTATGTGGCAGTTATGACAAGCTCTTCCAAGAAAGCTTGCCTGAAGGCTATCAATTGACACTGTCCATTAATGTCAGTGATGTGAAATGAGACTCCAAGAAGACAATTAACATAGGGAAAGGTTTACGTTCCAGCCTAGTGGCCCATGAGGCTGGCCCTCCTCACTGGTTTGAGCTGCATGGAGAGAGGAGGAATATTTCTACTCCTCTCTAGATAGAATGGTAGTATGTGGCAGTGATTGTAGAGAGACACTGTGAGAACAAGATGTTTTTGCTCAAGGACAGAAAGATGGGATGTCTCGTCCCAAAATACATCGTAGGCCACTGTACCTAATATTGACAACTGACAATAGGTTTTCACATCAGTGAGTGCAACACGTATGTGTACCCTGTTATTGCTCATTTCAATATTTCTTCAATTAGTTGTGATTTGATTAAGATATACAACCAGATTTTTCATGTACTTTCCCATTTACCTTAGTTTATACTACTCATTTTTGTGTTGGTTTTTTTTTAAAGTTCTTTTCGGTTTCCTTTTTGGCAGGTGACCTCAATCTTTGGTCCCATACCTAGGAATCCATTCCAGACTGGCAAGTTTTTCCAAGAATTGTCAGAGTTTGTTGGTCACAATCCAGGTATGTTTAAGGTAGAACAGTTAAGGTTAAGGTCAGATTAAGTCATTTGAAAAGCCCAGGTGGCCTGCCGCCTGCCAGGCCAGTGTTTGACTCCAGTTTCTATTGCATGAAGTGATTAGGAACTTTATTCTAAGTCACTTTATGCTATAGAAATTGGAGTCAAACGCTGGTCTGGCAGGCGACAGGCCACCAAGGCTTTTAAACAAAGCTACATCTCTAATGAAATATTTTTAAAAAGAAATTTTAAAAAATTAAAACAATGCAGTGACTAGGAGTACCATTCGCTAAATTGGATGCTACTCCACCATTGCAATTTAGTCTCTCCACAAGCTTTTTTCCTTAATCAAAAGTGAACCAATTTCTTTCCTTAGTAAAAAGCGAGCTCACAACGTAAGCGCGACAGTGAAGTGCGCGAAAATGAATCAATAAATCCCCCGTGGCATTTATTTTGTTCGGGTCCTTGATGGTCAGAGGAAATAGAAGGTCTTGTGAACAGGCTATCACGGTTAAACCCGACAACGTTTTTGTGAGGTTTCCCTGACAACTTTGACAGCACCTATATTTGATATAATTGAGTGGAGAGAGATACGTACTGTGAGAGCAAAGAAATAACACAATGATCCATGGCTAGTCCACGAACCCAGACTGCCAAATCTGGACTACAACATGGTAACCCCCCGAACAGCGTATCTGCCATTAAAGAAATACACAAAGTTTTAGGTTTTGTGCTTAATCTTGAACGTGTGTACTAAAACAATTAGACTACTCGTCCTCGCTTTCTATGAGAGAGAGTCAACTTGTCTACGCCTCGTTGACTATTCGCTCATAGAAATTTCGAGCTCATACAAAGTAATCTAATTAGTAAGTAGAAATACGATTTTTGAGCAATCAATGCGCATATGTTCTTTGAGCAAAGATATTAGCCAACATTTTAAGTTGTGAATTTGTCCCAAACTTGTTAAGTACATGTTTATCACAAATGGCACAGGTT